TGTTTTTTTTTTTTTTTTTTTGCGGTACACGGGCCTCTCACTGCTGTGGCCTCTCCCGCCGCGGAGCACAGTCTCCGGACGCGCAGGCTCAGCGGCCATGGCTCACGGGCCCAGCTGCTCCGCGGCATGTGGGATCTTCCTGGACCGGGGCACGAACCCGAGTCCCCTGCATCGGCAGGCGGACTCTCAACCACTGCGCCACCAGGGAAGCCCGGATTCTAGTTTTTTAAAAAAATTTTTTGGTAACAGATTTATGGAGATACAATTCACATACCATATAATTCATCCATTTAAAATGAACAGTATATTCTGATATGTGCCACCACTACCACAATTTTCATCACGCCAAAAAGAAACCCTGCACCTTTTAGCCATCCCTCTGTTCCTCATCCACCTCTCCTGCCCTAAGCAATCATTAATCTCCTTTCTATCTCTATAGAGGTCCCTGTTCTGGACATTTCCTCTAAAAGGAACCATATAGCATCTGGCCTTTCGTGACCGGCTGCTTTTACTTAACACAATGTTTCCCAGTGTTTTCAAGGTTCGTCCACGTTGCGGTGTGTCTCAATACGTCCCTCCTTTATGTGGCTGAGTGATACTCCATTGCCTAGATATTCCACAGTTTGTTGATCCGTTCATTTGTTGGTGGACATTTGGGTTTTTTACACTTTCTGGCTACCATGAATCCTGCTGCTGTGAGCATTCATGAGTGATTTTTTTGTATGGCTGTGTGTTTTCATTTCTCTCGGGTATCTGTCTAGGAGTAGCATTGCTCCTAGGTCAGTATGGTAGCTTTGTTAATCATTCTAGGAACTGCCAGCCTATTTTCCCAGTTGTTGCACCATTTTACATTCCCACCAGCTGTGTGTGAGGGTCATCCTTGTGTTATGCTTTCATGCACACATATTTTGTGTTTACCTGAGGGACAGCTTCCTGTACGTGTTATTTCTGAGTTAAAGGGTACAGGCTATTTTAACTTTGAAAGGACAGTTGGAGAACATCCCACAGAGGCCCACGAGGTGTTGAGGGTACCTCCCGTTCCCCACACCCTCATCCACTCTGCCGTGGGGTTCTGAACTGGGCCGTTCACAGGTGGTCTCTGATAGCTCGGTGTGGTTCTTCGTGTGATTTCTTTTAACATGAGTGAGATTAAGTAGCTTTCCAAAAGGTTTCTCCTAGCTTTGGAGCCGAGCAGGCCTCCGGTGGCACAGAGCCAGAAGCCCGGCTTTGAAAGTGCCCGTGTCTGGAGGCAGCAAACTCTCCTCCCAGTTTGGTTTGCATTGGCCTCGCTCCACCTCCCAGGTGGCCCAGAGACCTGTGGCAGCTGGGGCGGGGGTGGGGGCCTGCCTGGGGATGAAAGGGCATGGATGGTAAATACAGGTGTCCTGCACTGAGAGTGGATGGCTGGTCCCTTCTCTTCTGGGGGCTGAACATCGGAAACGCCTGGGGGGAGCATTTAAAGATACAGCCTACTGGAACTTTCTCCCGAAAGTTCTGATGGGTGTGAGACAAGATTTTGCCTCTTGAAATCCACACGCTATAGTTCTCCCCACACATTAACCAAAAGCAGTTCCTCCTCCTCCTTGGAGTGGCTGAGGAGGTCTGTCATTCACCAGGTTGGCTGGGATTCAATATTTTAATAGGCTCCCCAGGTGATCCTGGTAGCTAGCCAGGTTTGGTAGGTACTGCTCTAGAGACTCCCTCCCTCCCTCCATCCTTCCTTCCTTCCCTCCTTCGTTCCTTCCACCCATCCTTCCTTCCACCCATCCTTCCTTACCTCCATCCATCTATATTTGAATGCCTGCTCTCCCAGGCACTATTCTAGGTCCTGGAGATACAGCAGGAATTACATTAGACTCCAGTCCTCGCGGAGCCTACATTGTTGGATTAGGTACAAGCAGCATGGAGCTTGACTTCCAGCACATTTGATGAGCTTTGCCATGTGACCGCAGGGCAAGTTACATGCACTTTCTGAGATCTAATTCTCTTACCTGCAGAATGGGAGTAATATTGGTATCCATGCACACGGTTACAGTTGGGCATGAGTAAATGAGTCGATACATCAGAGGGTCGAACACGATGAACGGCACAGGGTAAGCCCCGGACCAGTGGCAACTGCTGCTGTTACTTTTGCCATTGGCTGTTGATGACGGGTGGCATCCAGCTTGTCTGGGGCAGCAGGGTCTTGTTTAGGTGTTTGGACCTTTTCTGGAGAGCAGTAGGGATCCACCGAAGTGTTTTCAGAAGAGGGACGATGTGAACACGTTTGCGTTTTTGAACGTGCGCTGGCAAGTCTGTGCGCTATGGCTGTGTCAGTAGTGTTGGTAAAGCAACAGCAAACCCAATTTGGGAGTAAAGAGCTTAGAAAAGGTGCTCCCCTGACCACTTAGAAAGAATAGGCCTTTGGGCCCTAGATGAGGACTCTCAGCACCGCATTTTCAGCCTCCTGACATAAGGGTGTCCTGGGGGGACCCCCACAGCTGTAGTGTTGCTTCAGCGGTCCTAGTTAGCGGGATCCTCCAGGTTACTGTGGCGTCTGCCAGGGGCAGGCAAACGGGAGGGAGCACGAGCGTGTGGTCCTGGGGTAATTGGCAAGCAGCCTGTGACCTTTGGACAGCTGTCACAACACCCCTTTCAGGCCTGGGTGAAGGTAGACACCCAGGGGTCCCACTGTGCAGAGCAGTGAGTGGTTCTCAGCCGGGGCAATCCCACCCCCACCCATTCAGGGGCATCTGGCAATGCCTGGAGATACTGTTAGTTGTGATTATTTGGGGGGTAGCTTCTGGCATCTAGTGGATTGGGGCCAGGGGTGCTGCTAAACACCTTACAATGCACAGGACAGTCCCCGCCCCCACCCAAACAAAATTATCCTATATAAAGTGTCGGTGGTGCCAAGGTTAAGAAGCCCTGGTCTAAAGTCACGCGTTTGCTTTGCTTAGAACCGTAAAATGGCACTGGGTATGTTCGGGTTTCTCTTTGGACCCTGTCATGACGGAGCTGTGTCATGTCTTCAGCCCATATTTGCTGTCATACTGGGTGCTAGATTCTGCTAAGAGAGAGGAGGAAGGATGGAGTCCCTGCCCTGGAGGGAACAGATGCAGCAACTGGGAATTGCAGGATCGTGTGGTCGGTACACAGTGCAGGTCTGCGCTGGGTACTTGGCGAGGAAGGAAGGCTCTTGTCCCCCTCAGTGGGGATGGGGGGTGGTCAGGAATGGGGGGAGGCCTCATAGCAGAGGAGCTGCTTCTGTGGAGAGTTAAGGGAGGGGCTTGTCAGGTGGCCAGCAGGACGCCTGCCCTGAAGTGGGGTCAGTAGGTGCCATTGGATGCAGGTGCGTAGATTTGGGGGTCAGTGATTCGGACAGGGCTTAGCTGGTCGGTTCTTCTACTCTTTGTGGCCTGGACTGAGGTGGCACTCAACTGGCATGTCACCTGGTCTGAAAGGTTCCAGAACCTTAACTCCCATGTCTGGTGCTGTGGTGGTGATGGCTGGAAGCCTGGGCTCAGCCGGAAATGTTGGCTGAGCACCTGCTGCTTGGCAGTCCCAGGGTAGCTGGACTTCTTACATGGTGCCTGCTGTCCCCCCTGGGTGTGTGTTCCAAGAGTCCCAGGCCAAAGCTGCTGGGCTTCTTATGACTTAGCCCGAGAACTCCCAGAAAGTCACGTGCTCAGGTCACCAGGGCCAGCTCAGGTTCAGAGCATGGGAAATCTCCTCTTGGGGAGGGCGAGGCTTGCACGTCCAGGGTGGGGAAAAGTTGACGGCAGCCACCTTGGAGCCAAGTGACCATGAGAACAGCTGGACTCTGGATCCAGACTTGTAGCGGTGCTGTGTGATCCAAGGCAGGTTGTTTGACCTCTCTGTGCCTGTTTCCCTGTTGGTCAACTGAAATGATAATAGTCCCTACCGATAAGATAAGGGTGAGAATCAGATGGATTTTATTATATGTACTTTTTTATTTTTAAAATTATTTTTTAATTAATTTATTTATTTTTGGCTGCGTTGGGTCTTCAGTGCTGCGTGCAGGCTTTCTCTAGTCGCG